CTCCGCCGATGCAGATCGACTCGAGCTCCCCTGGGTTCCTGCTGGGGTTGTGGCATGGCCCTAGCCCCTCCCTGGACTTGACGAGATCCACACCCCCAGATTCCTTTAACGGAATACCCTTAAACAACCCTGATTGAAATGGATGTAGAAAATTAGTTTCCTCCTAGTGCCTGATTTTGGTCTGCAAACACCTGCTCAAAAACCCTGCCCAAGAAGGGGAGATTGGCAACTGACCTGTAGTTACCATATTGGCCCGAATATAAGCCGCCCTCTTTTTTCCCCCCAAATTCCGATTGTGAAATGTTAAAGTGTAGCTTATATTCGCAACCTTACGCCACTGGCAAAGTGGTGCTGCTCCCCCCAGAAAACAGCCCTGGAGCATGGGACAACAGCACCCATCCCGTCCAGGGCTCCCAAGCCTCCCCCAAGCCACCAAATTTTAAAGGTGCGGCTTATTGGTGGGTGCGGCTTATATTTGGGCCAATACGGTACTTATATTTTCTGAATCCAAAGATGATTTCGATGATTTCTTGAGGAGTGGTTTAGATATTGCAATGCAAACCCCATAGAAGTATTGGATTATAAATTACTCTCTCCTCTTTTATGGACAGACACGGCCGCTTTCTTTGTGTAATGACAATTGTCGTTCAGGTTACAGAAGAAAAAAGAAGGAAGGGAAACAATTTTGCTGCTATGATTGTATTCCATGCGCTGAAGGGAAGATCTCAAACAAGAAGGGTAAGATTAGTCGTGTATAAAGCTTTTGAACTTTGTTGGCAGTGATCCTACATGTGCGTATTGCACATCATGCTGTACTGCAACTTTCCCCAAGCTGGTGTCCTCAATATATTTTGTACTACAACTTCCTTCAGTCACCTCTCAGTCTCCCATCTCTCACCCAGGACTCCTCCCATTGAACCTGGCTTTCACTCAGGGCCCAAACAAATTCAGATATAATACCCAGAGTTCACAGTTTCAGGCAACAGGGTTGATGGAGCTCCCTCAGAATGCCCACATCTGAATCCACATCTGATTCCCATTCAGCTTCTCTGCACACACCCTCTTTCAAAGTACAGCAAGTTTAGACTGGCAGGGTTCCCAGGGGGTCGAACAGATGGCAAACAGGACACACCTCAACTCATATTGCCCTCGTAATTTCCTGTTCTTTGTCAGGCTAGATGCACAGCTACCTACACACCCGTACCTAATCAACAAGATGGGGAACAGGAACTACACATTCCAACCAGATGGCCCCATGTTAGAATTCCCAGTTAGTGATAGTGAGCGGAAAACATATTTCTTCAGTTATGGGATTCTGTGTCCTATAGTCACTGTGGTCTAAAATGTCAGTTTTCTCCTGGGCCATTAATATGGCTTCTTTGAAATACAACTGAATGTGAATGACTCAATAACATATTTCAGATTTTAACCTGGGGAACAGTAATTCAGGGCTTTCAAATAAGAATCCTTGATTATGCTTGTTTAAGAATTGTACAATATACAAGGCTGTAGAGAAATATTTTTTCAGATATGGATGACTGCATACTGTGCCATGGTGGACAATACCCAAATAATGACCGGGATTTATGCCTTCCAAAAGATATAAGCTTCTTGTCTTACGAAGAACCATTAGGGATGAGCACCTCCATTTTTGCTCTTATCTTTTCTTCCATCACAGTCTCGGTGCTTGGAATTTTCATAAAGCACAAAGACACTCCTATAGTCAAAGCCAACAACATAGACCTCACCTACACCCTCCTCATCTCTCTCCTATTCTCCTTCCTTTGTGTATTCCTATTCATTGGCCAGCCAGAGAAGTTGATGTGTCTTCTTCGACAACCTGCTTTTGGCATAATCTTCTCCATGGCTGTTTCTTGTATTTTGGCCAAAACCATCACTGTGGTGCTGGCTTTCATGGCCACAAAGCCAGGATCCAGTATGAGGAAATGGGTGGGGAAAGGATTGGCCATCTCCATTGTTCTGTGCTGCTTCATGATTCAAGCCACTATCTGCACTGTGTGGCTGGCAACGTCTCCTCCATTTCCAGATTCAGACATGCACTCAATGGCTAAAGAAATTATACTGGAATGTAATGAAGGCTCAGCCACCATGTTTTACTATGTTCTTGGTTTTATGGGTTTACTTGCCTTCGTCAGCTTCACAGTAGCTTTCCTAGCCAAGAAGTTACCCGACAGTTTTAATGAAGCCAAATTTATCACCTTCAGCATGTTGGTCTTCTGCAGTGTTTGGTTGTCCTTTGTTCCAACTTACTTGAGCACAAAAGGAAAATACATGGTGGCTGTGGAGATCTTCTCCATATTGGCCTCTAGTGCTGGTTTACTAGGTTGCATCTTTTCCCCCAAATGCTACATAATAGTCGTGAGGCCTGATCTGAACAGCAAGGCACAGCTCATTAGAATAAAGCATTAAGGAACATAAAGGTCTGTGATCCTCATCTAGATAAAGTTATCTGCGACTATGTTGTTCCCCATAATGTTGGCAAGGGGGTCCCCTAACCCCTATGAATAATGGGGCATTTGGTAATGGTTACTTTAGTTACATCTCTTGGTAGAGAATTGGCATGATGCAGCCACACCTCCTCTTAATCTGGCATTTCAAGATTACAAGACTCTGCCCATCCTTTCCCCCCCTAGCTGTGGTATGTTGTTGTTGTTGTCATTCCTAAATTTGCCACTGGAAGGGAGATTGTTCACATATTCTGAAGCATCATAGTGGATAATGCAGAATTAGCCAAACCAAAGTCTCAATGACTTATTCATCCAAGGTGAAGCAGAATAGAGTCTCCCACTCCTTTAGCCTTAACAGTCTCAACGGCTGTTAAGTTTAACAGCTGAAGAGTTTATGGGATTGACAGGGCCCCTCTGTACACTGTTCATGAGAGCAAACATGGTGCACATAGTTAATTTTAGGCACTTTATGTATTGAACTTAAACACACCCACCCCTTTAGATGTTAATCTACTGTATACTACTTTACCCATTTCAAATACCAACTGTATCTGAAGGCTGTTCTGCTTATTTGGCTGAGTGTGGGTCTACCAGCACCACTGATGTCACCGATCTGATGCATGAAGTCACAGGTGAGGTCACCAACACATTAGTAGCAGGAGATATTATCATGAGTTTGGGTGATTGACTTTAGCTAGTTAAGCATGTTACAGATGTAAATAAATAAATATTATGCCTCATAGTTCAACCCATTCATTGTCTCGTGTCTTCATTTTGCTGGTGTGTGTGTGTGTGTGTGTGTGTGTGAGAGAGAGAGAGAGAGAGAGAGAGAGCACAATAAACACCAGGAGAAAACTAGACTCTACAGAGATAGAGTGGGAGATCCCATTGTAAATGTTGGGAGTTCATTATTAAGCATAACTTGTTCCATGGTTTTAAGTGAATTGAGGCATGCCTGACTTGTGCTTAACAGAAGCTTGTTTACGGTGTGGGTTTATATTTTCAAATGCCATGAAACAGCACACTGATGCTAGGAGAGAACCCAACTTAACACAGCAGAGTTACATTCATGTCTTCTCACCAAAATAAAACCTATGGAACAAGGTTTCTGTGGTCATTTCACAAAGCAAACCTATCCATTCCATTACCCAGCTGATTTGCACATCTCAAATCTTTATTACTTAGGCTTGAAATCATACAGTAATACAAGTAAATTGGTGCACCGCTCAAATATAACTCACAACAACAATAACTATAAATCAACACTAAGAACAGAGCCAATTGTCTTCTGTATTGCAAATATTGTTTGGGTATTAATCTCTGCCAGTAATGGAAAAAAATTCAAGGTATGCTTTGTATGTTTTTGAGGAGGGGCTTTGGCCTCCCTAGGCCAAATATTTAAAACACTGATTGCATACTTTTACAAACCCACGGTGGCTTTGAGCATGATACCTCTCTCTTGTTTACCAGGGGCCCTGTTTTCATTACAGTCCTATGGGCCGTCACAACTGAGTTTTGATAGCAGAAGTTCATAACTTATGCAAGACTTCACGCCACTTTTGAAAAGGCAGACCTTGCAAACTACTCCCTCTTTACTGTTGGTACAGTGGTGCCCCGTAAGACGAATGCCTCGCAAGACGGAAAACCCGCTAGACGAAAGGGTTTTCCGTTTTGGAGGTGCTTTGCAAAACGAATTTCCTATGGGCTTGCTTCGCAAGACGAAAATGTCTTGCGAGTTCCTGCAGGGTTTTTTCCCTCCCCCCCCTTTTCCCCAAGCCGCTAAGCCGCTTATCAGCTGATCCGCTAAGCCGCTAAGCCACTTAACAGCTGATCCTCTAAGCCGGCTAAGCTGCTAATAGCGCTAATCCGCTAAGCCGCTAATGGGCTTGCTTCGCCAAGACGAAAAAACCGCAAGACGAAGAGACTCGCGGAACGGATTCTTTTCGTCTTGTGAGGCACCACTGTATTCATTTTTGAATACATTACTTCAAGTTTGTTATTCCTTACTATGGTTCATTACAAACCAGCTGGGTCCCACTGAGCATGTCCAAAGGAGACTCCTCTCCAGTTGTGTTAAATAATTTTTCTTCTGCAATATCTCACAGAACCAAACTGAGCTGGTTCTACTGAACAGAACTGGGGGAGACTTCTCTCAAGTTGTGATAAACATGTTTTCTGCTGCTATGTCAACACAGATCCAGCAATGCTACATAGGCGATTGTCTCCCTTGTAATTTTCAATGAGCCATGATTACATCTAGTTATTCTGCTAGTCCCCAGAGAATTCAATGACCCTTCCCACAATTGTGAACCGAGACTAAGGATGCTGTTAAAATCCCATCTGTCACACAGAGCTGTGAATAGAGATGGTTGCATGTCTGTTTTCTGATACCTTCCGTTGTGTGTGTTGTTGTTGTTTTTGGCTTCAACTGCGTGCAAACTCAAGTCAAGTTGTCCAAGTCAAAGACACTCAGATAGCAATATACATAGAAGCCAATGAGCTGATATTTAAAAGGCTGAGTTTTCATGCAAGATGGTGATATTTGTGATACTGGTGTTAGTGTTGCTAACCCAAATGATGTCTATTTCTCCAGTGGTTAAACACACCATCACTCGCCCTATTCTTACTCATCACAAGTGCTATCATGCAGGAGATTTCATCATTGCTGGCATTATTTCTCAGATATACATATTGCCTAATCCAATCAAATTTGAAGAACATCCTTCTCATGAAGCATTTGACAATATCATGTAAGGAACCATATTATTGTTGTGTTGTTTTCGTTCTGTTCTGTTGTTTTGCAAAATGTACATTATCAGGCAAGCCAATGCAATCAACTTTATTTTCAGTGCATTACAAATGGTTTATTGTCTCTACATCATTGTATAGATTTGTATCATACTACCCTACCCTGTTTCTATGTAGACGGTGATTTTCAGCAGTGCAAATTCAGAGAGAGAGTCCATCTCCTAATCCTCTTCCTGTATAATATATTTAAGGATTTTTTCAAGAGCAGCCTTCTCTATCCTTCTACCCCACCTAACTAGCCTTTTGGCCTATAACTTCCATCATTATCCACCATCACAGCCGATGACAGGAACTATGGGTGTTCTAGTTCAAAGCATTTGTTTCACGCAGGGTTGGGAATTCTGCTATAGAGTGGCAACTTTCTTCATTGTACTGAATAGGAATAATAATAGACCAGGTAAACTACCAAAAGGTCAAACAAAGTGAGAAACCATTACTAACTGCATGAATAGCTCTCAGGCTGTTTAGCTCTCAGGCTGTAATCCAAATCACACTACAATGGGAGGAAGGCCTGCTGATTTCAGTGAGATTTACTTTCAAGAAGACTATACATTTTTTTGCATTGGAATATTTATAAGAAATCTTACAACTAATATTGAGTGGGTACAACATGTTCATGGTGAGTTCCGGCACCTCTTTACCTAGAATAATAGTTTTCACTTAATGTAAGATGATACCAGATTGGGAGTGGAGTCTAAAACTCCTGGCAGAAGCAGAATGTTATTAGTAAATCCATTTCTTCCTGCAGCCTCTTCCTAATGCCACTTCTCGTCCTGCTTTGGATCTTAACCTAATCCTTTAGAGTGACATATTTGGGGGATGGGAGTGGTTAGGATCCAAGCTTTTATTTGCCATCAGGCTATGTGCTGAAAAGTTTTCCCCCACTTCCTAGAATATGTCCAAATGATCTATCTTAGAGCAAAGTTTTTAGTGTATAGATAGGACTGAAATGTAGCAAATACCAAATTTTGAAGGAGATAAACTATGGTGCATCATTTATTTCTCATTGTAGGGTACTAACTCAGAGCTACCAGCAAATCCTGGCCTTGCAATTTGCTGTGAAAGAGATAAATGAAAACCCCCAGATATTACCCAATGTCACCATGGGTTTCCACATCTACAACAGCAACTTCCATGCAAGATGGACCTACCTTGCCTCAATGGAACTTCTGTCTACACCAGGCGGGTTTATCCCAAACTACAAGTGTGACATTCAGAATAGTCCAGTTGCAGTCATTGGGGGACCCAATTCTGATATATGTCTCTACATTGCAACCATCCTGGGCATTTATAAGATTCTCCAGGTATAATGTACCTTAGAGTTATATATATGCCTGTTATATATAATTTTGCCGGGAGTCTTGGAAATTGTGATTGAAATAAAAAGCTGCATTTTACATGAATCTCATTGGCTCCTAATGCACATTGAGTGCTGGATTGGACAGTTTTTGAGGACAAGCCTTACAATTTAGGAATTGCAGCAACACATTTTAATTTGGAGCTATCCTTATTGTCTCTCTAACTTTCACTGTTATTTTCTTTAGCTTACGTATGGCTCTGCTCCAGTGATAAATGATGAAACCCATGGAGTTTCTTTGCACCAGATGTTCCCAAATGGAGACAAACAGTATATGGGTATTGTCCAGCTACTGCTGCATTTTCAGTGGACATGGATTGGGGTGCTTTTCATAAATGATGACAGTGGAGAGAGATTGAAAGCAAGCATGCTTCACACTTTCTCCCAGAAAGGCATCTGCTTTGATTTTGTCGAAAGATTTCCAAAAGCAGTATTTTCTACTGGAATTAATGATTTGGTGCTGGAGGGGATCCACACAATCAATGTTATTATGAAAAGCACTGCCAATGCAGTGGTTGTAAATGGTGAAATCCACACCATTCTTGTTTTAAGAACACTGTTGCATCTTCAAGAATTTGAGGAAATACCCATAAAAACAAAGATCTGGATTATGACAGCCGAGATGGATTTTACAGCACTTAGTGCTCAAAAAAGTTGGGACATCCACTTTATCCATGGCAGCATATCCTTGGCAATTCACTCAAAGGATCTTCCAGGATTCCACACATTTCTTCAAACAAGAAACCCTACCACAGCAAAAAAAGACGATTTTATTAGGGTCTTCTGGGAAAATGCTTTTAGCTGTACTTTCCATAGTTCCACCTTAGAAGAGGATGCTGGTGAAATCTGCACTGGGGAAGAAAAACTGGAGACACTTCCTCAGTCAGTTTTTGAAATGAGAATGACTGGTCACAGCTATAGTATCTACAATGCTGTACATGCAGTGGCAGAAGGTTTACATGCTATGTATTCATTTAAATTCAAAAACATAGCAAAAGTCAGTGAAAGAACATGGAACCTTATTAATCAACAGCCATGGCAGGTATTCCGCAAGCAGAAAAACTCATTATATCTATGGGTGCAACAGCAGTCCCTGTAATACGTAGATTTTCTCTTCACCGTAGTGGAGTTTTAGGTATCCAAACAGTAGGTTAATAATAGTTGACATTTAACAGCAAGTTTCAGTTCAGCGTATCACTTACAATCTATACATAGATTTTATTACTAGAGATGGTTAAGTTGGCCATGACTGATAACTAGAGAAAAGTAATATTAGTATTACCTTTATATTCATCTGTAAGGATGTTTCAGCTAAAATGGCCTCTTGAAATTCTCCATCCTACTCTATTCCCCTCCAAGCCACATTTCTCCAGGAGAGGAAGAAATTCTCCAACAGTTGGTGATGATGGACTTCACCATTAGCAGTGGCAGTAACATAGCTTCCTTATTTCTCTCTCTCATCAATTCCTAATGAGTTTGGGATAATTCATGCATCCGTACTCATAAACACCAATGGTTCTTGATTATATTACTCACAGGGGTTTTTTTTTTTACATATTTAACATACTTTTTCAAAGTGGTTGGACACACACAATTTCCCCTGAGAGATGACATGTGATCAAGACGCATCAGTGCCAGGGTGACTTGCTTTGGTGTCAAGAGGTGTGGCAGCAGAAGCTCCACAAGCTATCTAGCCATGGGCCTGTGGCTATGACAACCAAGACAACATAGAGACAGCCTTCACACCCCGTCATTTAGGAACATGCAAGTGAATGAGAATCCAGAAATGTGTAGGATCTGGAGTGCACCTCTGATACAAAGTAATCTGTTTTGGGGTTTTTTTGTAAACCACCTTAAGGGTTTCTTTTAAATTCAAGTGGTATATCAATTTTATGAAAATAACAATAAATGAGATAAAAGTACAGTGGTAAAGGTAAAGTTAAAGGTACCCCTGCCCGTACGGGCCAGTCTTGCCAGACTCTGGGGTTGTGTGCCCATCTCACTCAAGAGGCCGGGGGCCAGCGCTGTCCGGAGACACTTCCGGGTCACGTGGCCAGCGTGACATCGCTGCTCTGGCAAGCCAGAGCCGCACACGGAAACGCCGTTTACCTTCCTGCCAGTAAGTGGTCCCTATTTATCTACTTGCACCCGGGGGTGCTTTCGAACTGCTAGGTAGGCAGGTGCTGGGACCGAGCAACGGGAGTGCACCCCGCCACGGGGATTCGAACCGCCAACCTTTCAATCGGCAAGCCCTAGGCGCTGAGGCTTTTACCCACAGCGCCACCCGCGTCACATTAAGTACAGTGGTACCTCGGGTTAAATACTTAATTCGTTCTGGAGGTCCATTCTTAACCTGAAACTGTTCTTAACCTGAAGCACCACTTTAGCTAATGGGGCCTCCCGTTGCTGCCGCATCACCGGAGCATGATTTCTGTTCTGATCCTGAAGTAAAGGTCTTAACCTGAGGTACAATTTCTGGGTTAGCAGAGTCTGTAACCTGAAGCGTATGTAACCCGAGGTACCACTGTATACACTGATCCCTCCAGATCAGATCAGGTCAGTCCTTATAAGAATCAGAACTTTGGTAGTTCTCCTCCTTTCTGTAGTAAAGGATCATTATCCTCATGCATCTCTGTTACTTATGATAGATACTTTTGATCTACTTCTCTCTCTCTCTCCTAATTTAGCTTCACCATTATCTAAATCATTTATCATTTAACAACAGTGCTGGAGAAAAGGTTTCCTTTGACCAAAAGGGGAATTTAATTGCTGGATTTGATATTATCAACTGGATCACATTCCCAAACCACTCCTTTCTTAGAGTCACGGTTGGACAGATAGCATCACAGGCTTCCCTGGACAAATTATTCATTTGTGAAGATGCCATCCAATGGCCCAATAGATTTAACCAGGTACATTTGGCGATAAACAAATAGCTTCCCCAATGTTCAAAAATATATTTTTTGAAAAAAGCTTATAGCAAACTGGAAGTTTTATGGTGGTGAACCTCAAATGCAGACACACTCTGCAACAGAATACCTTCTACAAATTTCCTCTGTGACTAGAAGCAGTCACAATGTTACATTTGGTTTCAGCACAGGGTACATCATTCAGTCCTAGCTGAACTTTCAGTGTTCGTCCACAGCTGCAAAGTTCAGCATAGGAACAGAGGAATGCATTCCTATCTTTCCTCCCCTTAAAACTTTCCCACACCCCTCACTCGCCCTTCCTGAGTATGTTTGCTGGCTGGAATGTGCCCTTGAACTGTAATCATAACTCTTGCTAGTATGGGTGGAGGAGGGACATACATGTGTACCATGTTTTTCGCTCTATTGGACGCACCGGGCCATAGGACGCACCGGACCATAGGAGGGGGAGAACAGGGGGGGGGGTCTTGTTCTCCCCCTCTAAGTCAAGGTGCGTTCTGTGCGTTCAAGGTGCGTTCACCCGAAGCCTCCAGAGGGGCTTTGGGTTTCTTTCGACCTGCTCTTTGGGGCTGGCGGGGGGGGGAGCACTGCTTTCTCCCACCGCCAGCCCCAAAGACCATGTCGGGGAAGAGCGGGAAGGTGGCGCTCCACCTCCCCGCTGTCCCCCCAGCTTGTGGGGCTGGCGGTGGGGAAAGCAGCACTTCTCCCAACCACCAGCCTCCAAACCAGGTCGGGTAAGAGCGGGAAGGCGGTGCTCCGCCTCCCCGCTGTCCCCCGAGCTTGTGGGGCTGGTGGTGGGGAGAAGCGCTGCTTTCCCCACCGCCAGCCTCCAAACCAGGTCAGGTTTGGAGGCTGCTATCCGCAAGCCTTGCGAGCCCGGCGGGAACTCCTGCCGAGCTCCCAAGGCTTGCGGATATCTGCCCGAAGCCCGGGGCGTGCTGCTCAGCGCACCCCAGGCTTCGGGATGCAGGCTGCTATCCACAAGCCTTGGGAGCCCGGCGGGCACTCCCGCCGAGCTCCCAAGGCTTGCGGATAGCTTCCTGAAGCCTGGAGAGCAAGAGGGGTCGGTGCGCACCGACCCCTCTCACTCTCCAGGCTTCAGCGAAAGCCTGCATTCGCTCCATAGGACGCACACACATTTTCCCTTCATTTTTGGATGGGGAAAAGTGCGTCCTATAGAGCGAAAAATACGGTATGTGTTTCAAAACCTCTGACTTTTTCATGGCTAGAATGTAGCATATTGCAGACCCTCCAAGTGTTCCTATTTTCCAGGGACGTCCCTGATTTAGAGAAGCCATCCTGGTTTCTGATTTGATCCTGGAATGTCCCACTTTTCTTTAGGATGTCCCTATTTTCATTGGAGAAATATTGGTGGATATGGAGTTATCCGACCCCCAAGTCATCTGAAGGCAGCCCTGTATAGGGAAGTCTTTTTAATGTTTAATGTTTTTTCTAATCTCTCATTCATGGACAGGCAAAGCCACTTTCTCAGTGTAATGACAACTGTCGCTCAGGTTATAGTAAGTCAAAGAAGGAAGGGAAGCCATTTTGCTGCTATGATTGTCTCCGCTGTCCAGAGGGCAAGATTTCCAACCAGAAGGGTATGAGATGTTATATACAGAGCATATCAAATATATTGGCTACTTAATTTTGTGCCCTTTCATTTTTTCCATTTCAGCTATATATGCTGCTTAATCACCCAAATTTCTAAGCAATGTACATAAAGATTACAAAAAGCATACCACGGGTAAAATAAAATTGCAATTAATAATAAAAACAGGAAATCCTTAAAATGTCTGCTGAAATAGGAATGTATTCATCAAGCACCTGAAGTGTCTGGCTGATCTCAGCTAGAAGAGAGTTCCTCAGAACTGAGTCCACAATATGGATATCAGCCAGATACATTATATGGATAAAGCCCATGCATAATTCTCAGAAACCAAGAAATGGTATGTTATGCGCAGGGAACAAAGAGGTAATGATCAAATCTGGATTTCAGGACAGAGCTGAGCTTTCTTTGCTCAGTATGTTGGCTACTGCTGCTCAAGGCTGACTATAGCTTCTGGAAAATAACTACATGAGAAGGCTAAAAAAATTTTTTTTTTTCAATCTGCCAACTTTATTTAAGACTTTGTGATATTGGAATGATGACAATAGTGCTCTACATACATGAAATGTAACCAACGATTTCTTTTACAGACATGGATGACTGTTTCATATGTCCAGAAGATCATTATCCAAACAGTGACCAGGATATGTGCACCCCAAAAGCTGTGACCTTCCTGTCATATGAAGAGCCTTTGGGGCTTACTCTGGCTATTATTGCTCTTTTCTTTTCCTTCATCACAGTTTTGGTGCTTTGCATCTTCATTAAGCACCAGAAAACTCCCATAGTGAAAGCCAATAACAAAGAGCTCACCTTCACTCTCCTTATCTCCATCGTGCTCTCCTTCCTTTGTACATTGCTATTTACTGGGCAACCTTCAAGGCTGACATGTTTCCTTCAACAAACTGCCTTTGGCATCATCTTCTCAGTGGCTGTTTCTTGTATTTTGGCCAAGACAATCATTGTGGTTCTAGCTTTCGTAGCTACAAAACCAGGCTCCAGGATAAGAAGCTGGATGGGGAAACAACTGGCCAACTCAATTGTTCTGTGCTGTTCCATGATTCAAACCACCATTTGCACTGTGTGGCTCTCAACCTTTCCCCCATTCCCAGATTTGGACATGCACTCCATGACTAAAGAAATTGTACTGGAATGTAATCAAGGGTCAGTCAGTATGTTTTATTGCGTCCTGGGCTATATGGGTTTCCTGGCCATTGTCAGCTTCACTGTGGCCTTCTTAGCCAGGAAGTTGCCTGACAGTTTTAATGAAGCCAAGTTTATCACCTTCAGCATGCTGGTCTTTTGCAGTGTGTTGTTGTCATTTGTTCCAACTTACTTGAGTACCAAGGGCAAATACATGGTGGCTGTGGAGATCTTCTCCATTTTAGGCTCCACTGCTGGTTTATTAGGCTGCATCTTTTCCCCCAAATGCTATGTTATTTTATTGAGGCCTGAACTGAACAGCAGAGAACACCTAATGGGGAAAAAGAGAAAAAGAAGTTAAAAATGGATGGTAAAGTAAATCTAAGTTTAGCACTGTGCATATCTGAGTGAAGACAATTGGAAGCGATAATTTACCTGTTAACATGCTCCATAAGTTTTAATAAGATGTTGTGGTTTCAAGCATTGCGTGCTTATGAAACTCTGTGCCTTTGCTCTTGGAAATATGGTCTCATTAACAGAAAGTTTAGTGGAAACTCAATGAACTGTAGGTGTGAGTTTGAATTACTGCTTAAAATATGTATGCTCGTTTTATTTTATGTAATTAGAGATGTTGCATGTTTTTTATTGCTATTTGAACAAATACTTTTCTATATTGGTTTCTGGGGCTGCATTGCTACTCTGTATATTTCCCCCAAAATGCTATATCATAGTATTGAGGTCCAAGCTGAATAATAGGGAACAACTAATAAAGAAGACAGCATTAAGGAAATGATTGTCTGTTGACTAGTAAATCATTTAATGGCATTAATCTGACCTATGAAACCTCCACCACATAAGATTAAATGTTTCAAGCCTATGGCACTGGTGCCTTCATTACATATCTTAAGGCGCCAGGCAAAATTTCCTCTTCTCCCAGGCCTTTGGCTAATTAAACAATATGTGGCCTTTTTAATAATAGTAATACTACTACTACTACTACTACTACTACTACTACTACTAATTATTATTATTATTATTATTATTATTATTATTATTATTATTATTATTAATACCCTGCCCATCTGACTGGGTTTCCACAGCCACTCTGGGCAGCTCCCAACAGAATATTAAGAACAGAATAAAATATCAAACATTAAAAACTTCCCTAAACAGGGCTACCTTCAGATGTGTGGCAAGTTATTGTTTTTGTTTATTATGGTACATATTCTGTGTTTTTATATTCTAAGCTGCCTTGTGATGTTAAAATGAAGGGCAGCATAGAATCAACTAACTAACTAACTAACTAACTAATTAACTAACTAACTAACTATAATAGACCTTACATGTAATCTAATTAATTTGTGTATTTCGCCCTGTTCTTGTTCCCAATGGTTTCAAGCAGATGGATTAGAATATTACAGTATGTTTGATTTGTGTTAAAGTTTCATATAATTATGTACTGGAATTTTGTTGACACTGTTGTTGTGTATTGACTTATCCACGGTGCTACAGATACATTTGTTCCTATTCTGTTTTCAGTTGGCATAGTGGTTGCCTAAGTTTGCTTAACGTGTTGCATACTATGCAACTTTAAGCAGAGCATGGTTATAAAATGGCCTACAAATAAATGGATGATATGAACCAACATCAGAGTTTCAACTATTTTTTTTCCTTTGGGAAACTTAGTAAAAAATATTTTTGCAGACTTTTTAAAAAGTTGGAAGTGGACAGTGGAAGGAGCCTGGAAGATAGTTCATGACAGTTTAGATGTATGCTTGGACTTTGTACAGTTCCAGAATGGTTTCGTACATAAACATTGGGCCAATCATCATGTGCTATCATTTTAGTTCCAAAGATATCCGCTTCTTCACTGGGTCCTTATTCACATCTCATAGGGATGAGGTAGAAATCTGATTCAATTCACATTTAATTTCCTGTTTCCTGAGAGTATTAAGAAGAAACCCCTTTAGCCTTGTCTGGATGCTAAACTCTGAATCCAGCTCAGGGTATTATACAGATCACTCATGAGCCCTGCCCTTTTCATCCACACATGGAGGGGTTTTATTTGTTTGTTTTACCTTTATTGGCATAAGCACATGCAGTTTAAGTATAAAAAAGGTAAAGGGACCCCTGACTATTAGGTCCAGTTGTGGCTGACTCTGAGGTTGCGGCGCTCATCTCGCTTTATTGGCTGAGGGAGCCGGCGTACAGCTTCCGGGTCATGTGGCCAGCATGACTAAGCCACTTCTGGCGAACCAGAGCAGTGCACGGGAATGCCGTTTACCTTCCCGCCAGAGCGGTACCTATTTATCTATTTATCTACTTGCACTTTGATGTGCTTTCGAACTGCTAGATTGGCAGGAGCAGGGACTGAGCAACGGGAGCTCACCCCATTGTGGGGATTCGAACCACCGACCTTCTGATCGGCAAGCCCTTGGCTCTGTGGTTTAACCCACAGCGCCACCCGCGTATATATGCTTAATTTCAGATTTATGCATGTGACTTTCTACTCAGTAACTCTGGTGATACAATACAGTGAGAGTCCTGCTGGAACACATTCTCTCACTGAGGATGGAATTCTATTAAATATTTGCATCATTTCACTGAGGGATGCTCTGTGTGGTTGTCCAATCCCTGTGGGTACTGAGAGCAAGCAGTTCTAAGACCAACACCTTCTTTACCTTTCCATCAGAGCCTTGGTGGGGGAATACATATCCTGGGTTCAAATGCAGCCCTCATAGGCTCTCCACCTGTTCATTGGGAAACTCCCCACACTGCAACCCCTCTCTGCCACATCCCCTCCCCCCAGAGTGCACCTCTCACAAACCCTGCTTCCCATCCTTTCCCTGTAGCTGGAATATGTTCTGATAATGTATTTTGCCTCATAGAGGATAGAGACTTCAGTGCACGTGAAATTAGCTTATTACATACGCTTATTACATACGGGCAGTGGCGTAGCGTGGGGGGTGCAGGGGGGGCCAGCCGCACCGGGCGCAACATCTGGGGTTAGGGCAAATCCACGGGTTAGGGGGCGCAAATCCACGGGTTAGGGGGCGCAAATTACTTGCCTTGCCCCGGGTGCTGACAACCCACGCTACGCCACTGCATACGGGTTACATACGCTTCAGTTTACAGACTCCGCTAACCCAGAAATATTACCTCGGGTTAAGAACTTTGCTTCAGGATGAGAACAGAAATTGTGCTCCAGCGGCACAGCAGCAGGAGGAGGCCCCATTAGCTAAAGTGGTGCTTCAGGTTAAGAATGGACCTCCGGAATGAATTAAGTACTTAACCCGAGGTACCACTGTAGTATAAAGCTTAAAGGTACATTTCTTGCCCACCCCACTTTGCCTAAGGCACCACCCACTACTGTCATGTGTCCCCCAGGCTAAGGAAGTCTCCCTATCACTTACCTAGAACAAAACTACATGCGTAAGGAATTTCTAAATAGTCTAAGAACTAGACTGAAAGGTATGATGTATCTTTTCAGAACTAAAAACAACCTAATTTTGCTTTGAAACAAAACAAAACAAAACTTAGTGAACATGCCACATACAAAAATATAGCAATAACAAGCAAGCTTGTCAAAATATTTATTAAAGTATTTATTTGAATAGCAATAAAAAACATGCAACCCCTCTAACTACATAAAATAAAATGAACATATATATTTTTAGCAGTAATTCAAACTCACACCTACAGTTCATTGAGTTTCCACTAAACTTTCTGTTAATGAGATCATATTTCCAAGAGCAAAGGCAGAGTTTCATAAGCAGGCAATGTTTGAAACCACAACATCTCATTAAAACCTATGGAGCATGTCAGCAGTTAGATGTTCACTTCCAATTGTTTTCACTCAGATATGCACAGTTCTAAACTTAGATTTACTTTACCATCCATTTTTAACTTCTTTATCTCTTTTCCCCATTAGCTGTTCTCTGCTGTTCAGTTCAGGCCTCAGTAAAATAACATAGCATTTGGGGGAAAAGATGCAGCCTAATAAACCAGCAGTGGAGCCTAAAATGGAGAAGATCTCCACAGCCACCATGTATTTGCCCTTGGTGCTCAAGTAAGTTGGAACAAATGACAACCACACACTGCAAAAGACCAGCATGCTGAAGGTGATAAACTTGGCTTCATTAAAACTGTCAGGCAACTTCCTGGCTAAGAAGGCCACAGTGAAGCTGACAATGGCCAGGAAACCCATATAGCCCAGGATGCAATAAAACATACCGACTGACCCTTGATTACATTCCAGTACAATTTCTTTAGTCATGGAGTGCATGTCCAAATCTGGGAATGGGGGAAAGGTTGAGAGCCACACAATGCAAAGAGTGGTTTGAATCATGGAGCAGGAAAGAACAATGGAGGTGGCCAGTTGCTTCCCCATCCATTTTCTCATGCTGGATCCTGGTTTGGTAGCCATGAAAGCTAGGACCACTATTGTTGTTTTGGACAACACACAAGAAACTGCAATGGAGAAAATGACACCAAAAACAGATTGTCGAAGGAGACATACTACTTTTTCAGGTCGACCTATGAATAATAAAGTACAAAGGAAAGAGAGCAAGAGGGAGAAAAGGAGAGTGTAAGTGAGGCTCCGGTTGTTGGCTTTGACTATGGGAGTGTCCTGGTGCTTAATGAAAATCTGAAGGACCCAAACTGTGATGGAAGAAAAAGAGAGAGCAGCAATTGTCAAACTGATCCCCAATGGTTCTTCATAGGACAAATAACTTATGTATTTCAGAATGCATGAATCCTGGAGGTTATTTGGATACTGGTCTTCTGGGCATTGTAAACAATCATTCATATCTGTAAAAGAAACATCTTTTAAATGTCTTTCATATTTAATAACAAGCGTGTACATTGGCTGTATGTGGGTGCCAAATAATGAAGAAAGGTTGTGTTCCCCCCTTTTAAATCAAATGCAATGTCAATACCCCACCCCAAATGCACCCTGGCCCTTATCATCTTTTGGTTTTCCTAATTGCCTATATTTCACTAGATACATGGGTTTTGCTAGAAAACAAAAACAACAAAATCCTCCTCATCCTATTAGTCTGCAATCTGACAGGCTAAATGCACTCTGAAGGGGCTGCTGTGCCTGTATCCACTTTGGCAAAATAGGGGGAAGGTCTCCACCCCCATTGTTCAGCCCAGACACTGAGATCCAGCGCCGAGGGTGTTCTGGCGGTTCCCTCATTGCGAGAAGTAAGGTTACAGGGAACCAGACAGAGGGCCTTCTCGGTAGTGGCACCCACCCTGTGGAACACCCTCCCTTCAGATGTGAAGGAAATAAGTAGCTATCCTATTTTTAAAAGACATCTGAAGGCAGCCCTGTTCAGGGAAGTTTTTAATATTTAACGCTGTATTGTTTTTAATACTTGATTGGGAGCCGCCCAGAGTGGCTGGGGAAACTCAGCCAGATGGGCGGGGTATAAATAATAAATTATTATTATTATTATTATTATTATTATTATTATTATTATTATTGATATTTTTATCTCCTCCATTATCATGAATGGGAAACCACAGATATGCTTTTTAAACAAAACAGCTCAGAATTCAAATCACAGATCAAATTGAAGAGAGCAGAGAATGGCTCAGGAACAGAATGGAGAAAATGCACACACTTGCAGAAAACCATATGGAGGAAGCAATTCATCTCCTAGAAAACCATTTCAATCACAACCACATCATTGGAGTTGTCGTCTCTCCAAGAATTTACAAACATACACAAACAAAGTACTGATGAGACCCTCCCTAAGCTTTTTCTTGAGAGCTGTCCAAAATATTTGATTGCCCTGGCAGGTGCCTTATGCGACCCATGAGAGCAGCAAAATAAACAAACTGTACAATGGTGATAGGATAAAACCAGGCCAAATATTTATTGACAGCAGCAGGCAAGGCATGGGCTGGCATGGCATTGGATCCCAGGATCAGTTCATCATTCCACAAGCCCCATGTTGATGGAATAGATCCGCCAGGTTTCGATCGCTCCAAACCTGTACGACAGGAGTCGGCAAGGGTTGAACCTTGCTGTGGTGTAAGCCAAGCAAGCAAAGTCTCATTGGGGAACCAGAGTGCAGGTTCCAACCAGGCAGATGCCGAACCCACGCTTGGGTTTCCTGTGGTCAATCCTCCCCTCCTGCCCTTTGTGCCCCCCCATACTATGTTGATCCTGACCAATGCCATTTCTGTCCTCATACAATGTTCTTCTGCCTAGCAAAGGAAAGCCATAATTTCACTGAGGGAAAGGCAAAAACAACAACAACAAACAAAACAAAACAAAAACAAAAAAAAACCCCAACCAAGTGCCAATCAGGTTGAGGGGGAGGAGAAATCCTTTCCAACCCTGTCAACCAATGACCCCAAATTGCTCAGTGAATGCTCTGTGAAGGTGGGTGGATGGGAAGCTCTCAAAGCAAAATGGCTGTGAGCTCCAAGGGAAGCAGTCTTTATAGGCTTTCCCCTCCCCTCTTCAGCAAAGGCTCATGGGACAGCTTTTTCCCCATGAGCCCATCACACAGAGAAGATACTGGGCAACACCTTGCCCTCTATTTTGCTGCAATCTATGGGCCACAGTGCCGCCGGGCAAAGGCGTCCCGTGCTTATTGGGCACGGAACAAGGCTAAATGTTATGTCCTACATCTCTTACCTGACTGGTTTGAAATTTTCCCAGCTGGACAGGGAAAGCAATCATAGCAGCAAAATGGCTCCCCTTCCTTCATTGCTTTGCTATAACCCAAATGACATTTGTCATTACACAGAGAAATCGGAAGTGCCTGTCCATAAATAGAAGAGGTAGAACATTAAGTCTTTGGACTTTGTATATTACTAGTGAGCTAAAAAATAATAATGGGTTGTTGGTATCACAGCATAAAAGATAATTGGTTCTAGAGCAGTACAGTGGTACCTCGGGTTAAGAACTTAATTCGTTCTAGAGGTCCGTTCTTAACCTGAAACTGTTCTTAACCTGAGGTACCACTTTAGCTAAAGGGACCTCCTACTGCCACTGAACCGCCACCACACGATTTCTGTTCTCATCCTGAAGCAAAGTTCTTAACCCAAGGTACTATTTCTGGGTTTAGGTAAAGAGTAAAGAGACCTCTGACCATTAGGTCTAGTCGCGGACGACTCTGGGGTTGCGGCGCTCATCTCGTTTTACTGGCCAAGGGAGCCAGCATACAACTTCTGGGTCATGTGACCAGCATGACTAAGCCGCTTCTGGCGTACCAGAGCAGTGCATGGAAACGCCGTTAACCTTCGTGCCTATTTATCTACTTGCACTTCATGCTTTCGAACTGCTAGGTTGGCAGGTTAGTGGAGTCTGTAACCTGAAGTGTCTGTAACCTGAAGCGTCTGTAACCCGAGGTACCACTGTATTCTTCAACCCTGGGTCTCCCGATGTTGTTGTGTTGCACTTCCCCTCATCACTGACTGTTGTCTCAGTTGGCTGTGGATGATATCTGGGGACCCAAGGTTAAATGATACTATTCTAGAGAGCACCTTCTTTCAGTGGACTTTTGGAACAGCTCCCACCCACGAGAAGAGTCATGCATTGCAGGAGGTTGGACTGGGTGTTCCTCAAGGACCCTTCTATTATTCTATGTATCAGCAGATTTAGGAAAAGGCCAACAATTGCAGAAGTACCAAAAAGTACCCTTTTCTGAAGGGGGGAGGGGGGAGTGAGAGTTGAACCTAGGGAATAAAATTATGAGTTCCAAGACAACAGTATTTTAAAGATAGCTTTTATAGCATTTATAACATGTAGTAAAACTTCAAGTAATCACATACTGACTTTTTAAACTGCAATAGCAGATGTCCTACGTGGAATCATTGGCATTTTGTTCCCTTTGAAATCTATGGGACCTGAGGACCATTAACTTTATGCACTTTGTTAGATTTTGGAAGAATTGTTGAAGAATTATCTGCCAGTATCAAGGCATATCATGAAGACTGGAATAACTTTGCATTAAGCTGAAATTGGAATATTAATAAAAAATGGTTCAGAAGAGGAACCAATTATTCTGGGATTAACATATTTGCTTCCTTGGATCCATGGGGCATTTATTTCTCTTTCTTTTTTGGTCTATTGAAATGTTATTTTTATTTATTTATTTATTTATTTATTTATTATTTATTTATTTATTTATTTATTTATCGTTTCTTATATGAAATCTTAACTGCAACTGATTACTTACATTGAATTCCCATGCAAATCCAAGGTTAGTTCGACTGAAAGAAAGGGATGCAAAGTTTACAGGATTCTCGTATTCTGAGATCTGAGAACTTGATACTGAAAATTGTGGTCTGAATTGCTTTTACCAGAGATAAAAACAATTTGGGCCTCTGAGGACTGAACCCTTTCACAACTAGTGTTTATACCACCATTTGTGTGCCTAAGTACCTACCTGATTGAATGTGCTGGGCCACACAATCACATCTTCATGGATGGTGAATACTTTATCTGGGAGAGTCTGTGGCTCTACCTTTCCAACCTTCACTCTGTGGAAGGACTGGTTTGGGAATGTGACCCAGTTGATAATATCAAAGCCAGCTTCTAAGTTCCCATCTTGGTCAAACGAAACCTTTTCTCCAGCGCCATTGTTAAAAGAGACAGATCTCAGAAAGGAATGGAGCTGAAGAGGCAGAGAATGATAAGGATGCAACTATACGACAGGATGGTGATATTTTTTCACTACAGGAATGTAGTTAATAGCTTTGCTAGAAGCTATTGGCAGGCTTATCTGCCTAGACCAATGGTGGCCAAACTTGGCCCTCCAGTTGTTTTTGGACTACAACTCCCATCATCCCTAGCTAACAGGACCAGTGGTCAGGGATGATGGGCACTGTAGTCCCAAAACAGCTGGAGGGCCAAGTTTGGCCACCACTGGTCTAGACAGAAGATGTAGTTGAAGGGGCATTAGCTGTGATAATGAAGCACCTAGAGATTATACAAAGTCTATGAGGGAAATGAAACCACTGAGTCTGGGGTTCCTCTGCTGTTCTTAACTCCTGGTGTAATATGTAGGGAAGGTGACAATCTTTCAAATATTGGAGGATTACATCATTTAGAGGTTTAAACACTAACACGGACACTTTAAACTAGGTCCAGAGATGAACTAGAGATCCATTCATTTTTTGAAACAAGGGTTATACGAATTCTAAATAGAACTCATGACAGTAACCTAGCCAATGCATTAGGTACTGGTTCAAAAATGGAAGTTATAAAAGAACTAGAACTGAGATGGAATGGATGGCCTTAATAGAGGATTAGACAAATCTATGGAAAATAAGCTGTCAGTGGCTGCTAAGCAAGATGACTGTTCTACCACTGTCAGAGGCAGCCTTTTAAATGTTATTAGAATATATCGTTCTATAATGTTTAACATGCAGTTTCCCTATTGTCCTATTGTTGCTCTGCAGAACCCTTTATTGTCACATTTTAATAATGCATTATTAACGTTATAAACTACAAGTGTAGATCTGCCCTCTGTCTCTTAATACCAGTGAGATTGCCCTATAACCTGATGCAGCAGAGCCCTTCTTATGTGAAACCCAGATCCTGGGCATGGTATAAACAGAAGTTTTGAGGTGGTATTTGGACTGTTGGTGAGCCTTAATCTGTATTAGTCTGTTCCAGACATTACCTTCCATGGCTTTTGAGTCAGAAGCATCCACTTCGTTTTATCTGCCCTTGCTCCATGTTTGTATTTGGATGTGTACATGTTATGTAAAGCATGTGCCACAACATATACTGAAGTGTACATGTTGTAGCTGTGGCCAGTCATGCTCATTTCAAAAACAGAAGAAGGAAGAGTCTCCAGTTTCTCCTCCCCAGTGCAGATTTGTCCATCCATTATTTCTATATCGGATGTGGGGAACAAGCAGCCAAATGCATGTCCCCAGAAATGCCTGACAAAGCCATCTTCTTTTTCTGAGAGGTGGTTTCGGATCTGAAGAAATGTCTGGAATGCCAATATGTCCCTTGAATGAACGGCAAAGGATAAAGAGCCATGAATGAAATCTATGCCCCAGCCTGCTTGAAAGGGAAGAGATGAGAAATCCATCTGGGCTGTCATAATCCAGACTTTTCTTTTGACTGGTATATCTTCAAATTGCGGTAGCTGGATCAAGCTTCTCAAACTGATCATCGTGTGGATTTCACCATATACGACCACAGCAGTTACGCTGCTTCCCATAATGCGACGAGACAATGGAAACCAGTCTGAGAGTACTTCACTAGTATCAGCAGAAAAAGCTTTTTTGGAGCATCTTTCTATGAACTCAAAGCAGATACCATTCTGGGAATAATTGGGAAGCACATTCTGTACAAACAACTCTCCATTTTCATCTTCTAGGGAAATGACCCCAATCCAGATCCAACTGAAATGCAACAGCAACTTGAGGATGCCCATATACTGATGATTGCTATGAGGGAACAATTGGTGGAAGAAAACATCTTGGTTGCCATGTTTCATCATTGAATGTGAACCATATCTGAGCTATAGAAAATAAATGAAAAGGAAGACATGACATTTCCACGATAAATTTCTGGACAGTATTTTCCTTGTAACACTGTTCTAATAATTTGTTATTCTCTGAATGTTTTTGAAATTCATCAGGTTATTGGCAAATAAGGTTTAGTTGTCTTCTGTCCTGCCCCCTAGCACAGTTATTATATGGGGCTCAGATTTCAGCAGGCCTCACCTTGGATCTATGGAAGCTGTCCAATCAAAGTTCTTAAGGCAAATGTTCTGCATTCATTGCACCTAGAGGCTAATCTTTTCTCAGTAGAATTACAGATCTGGCATAGGACACTTAACTATTGGCTCAAATCCTCCCGGTTTATTATCTCTAGTGCTGCAAGATTGTCACAAGAGCGCCTGGATTAAAATTGTCTATTGAAAACTTCACTCTTGTGGTTTATCACCACAACAGCTACTCACTTTGGGTTTTAGTAAAGCAAACAGTCTAATTTGTCAGCGCCTAAATGATATCAAGCGTCAGAACAACTTGGCCACAATAAGGAAATTTTGCCCATGGTATGACTATTTTCCACCTTCCCATTTCGACTCTCTGGCCACCCTATCTGCATAACCTAGCAATTCTAAAAAATAGATGTGCTTTTACTCTCACAAGATTGACTGTATTGCCCTCAGCTGTACCTGAGGGATGATTCCAACAGATTCCACATGAAAAACACTTATGTCCCTGTGGAGATGGCAGTACCAAATCGGTGGTGCATGCCCTTCTGGCTTGCACTCTTTAGAAAGACTTGAGGAATGAGATTATCACCATTCTTTTATTGTCCATTCTGGGTCACCCAACCACTGCCACAGTGTCCTTTCTCTTGGCAGATCAAGATGAGCAGATGACAGCAAAGGTTGCAAGGTTTTTAGCTGGGGCAATCAGAATAAGATCCACTATTTGACTATTGATTCAAAACCCTAAAGTGTATTTTATATAATTGGCTTTTATTTCTATTTTTTGTATATCAAATTTTTGTTTTATTGCTATGGCTGATGGCTGACACAAATAAAGATTTATTCATTCACTCTCCTGTCCTGCCAGCAGCAACAACAAAATTATTGTAAGTCTCATCTATATTCATAGTCACCTTTACAGAGCACACACAGTGGGTCTTCCTCAAAAATATCAGTCCTTCATGCCCACTTTCCATAAAGATCACCATTGGGACAGAACTGGGAAGTTTTATAACAGCCCCATTTAAAAACACTGAAACTTGGATATTGCTTTCCACTGCAAAGAAATTCATATTCCACATTCTTCTCAAATTTAAAAAACACAGGAGCTATAGTGCCGTGATATCTTAAAATGACCTGTAAGTTGTAGCTAATACGCATCACAATGTACAGTGGTGGAAAATTGCCGTGCCTGTACTGCTTGAAACTTCAAGTGTGTGAACAGTTAACCACAGCAAAAATATAAATGAAACAGTAACACTCCCAATTCCACCAGAATTCTCTGCCTATTGACATTCTGAAACTTATTCTAAAAGATTTTCATTCTGTTCCTTTGTCTAACACATTGTCCTCCCTAGCAAACATCATTGTTGACCTGCTTAGGGTGCACACTATGCTCTTCCCAACAGTTAACCATACCTTGAACTTGGTCAGAGCGGGTCCCCTCACTCCCTAAGGAACCATTTGACCATGATAGCAGTCAAAGACTAGACCATTTGAAACAGGGGAGAGGCAGTTTTCCCCATTGTAATGATTCTCCCGTGCTGAGATTCAGGGATGAGCTTCATTGCAAAAGGAATTCTGGCATGTGATGATGTTGGATGAGGTTTAACTGTTCCCCTATCCTGCTCATATTGGCTAGTCAATGGTTTGTTTGTCTGAATGGTATACAATGGTTATCGAATTGTATAAAGTTCCTCCTCCAATCGGAAGAACAGGGGGGAAATACATTCCTGAATTATCAGGTGGTCCTAAAACTGAAGCCTTGATTGACAATAATGGAGGTTACATAGTATAGGAATGTCCTCATTCTAATATTGGTTCCCTGAACAATTATAAAGGAATTCTACCTGTGCCCTTTATCAAATATTATTGAGCTTTCTGTGTTTGTTTTTCACACACAATCTGTTTGAGGTCAGGACTTTTTATGGTCAGAAATTAATAATAATAATAATAATAATAATAATAATAATAATAATAATAATAATAATTTATATGCTGCCCATCTGACTGGGTTGCCCCAGCCACTCTGGATGACTCCCAACAAAAAATAGTAAAAACACAATACATCACACACTAAAAACTTTCCTTCAGATGTATGCATTGTGATTCATTGGTGCAATCATGCCAAAACAGCAAAGCACATCTTATAGGAAAGAAACTTTTGAATAGCTGCTTAATGTTACAGATGCAACTCTTACCTGCGGGATCTTGTAGGTGGACAGAGTAGCTGCCATATGCAAGCAAGTTTCAGAGTCTGGACCCCCAATGACTGCTACTGGGTTGTTCTTGTTGCCACATTTATAGTTAGGGGTGAATCTACCTTGTGTGGAGAGAAGCTCCATTGAAGCAAGGTAAGTCCATCGTGCCCTGAACTCACTATTATAGATGTCGAAGCCCAGGCTGACATTGGGCAATATCCAGGGATTTGCATTGATCTCCTTTACAGCAAATACCAAAGCCAGGATGTGCTGGTAGCCCTGAGTCAGTACCCTGTAATGAAATCATCATGCAGTGTCACAGTGCATTACTTCAGAATATTTTATTCGCAAAAGCCCTCCTCAGACATTCAGCCTGAACACACAAGGGCACAAAGTGTGTAACTGGGGAGAGCGGCATCTCCAACACCCACAAGAACCACCCAGGATTCCTCCGCTCCTAGTTTTCATGGCTGTACTGTAATGGTCTGAGTGATGTTTCTAAATGCCTGTGGCAGAACATGCTTAGCTTTGGAGTCAGGAACTCTGCCTCATCACCAAACACACTTAGAAGTTAACCCTCCTCACTCTGTATACACAGAGTTGCTGGGGTGGGAGCATACAGTCCTTGATCCACTACAGAGTTTTCACCTTCACCTCTTCCAACTGAATATGATATTCACAAACAAATTTAATCTTCACCAGACCCCTCTTCAGATGTTCAGCCTGATCATTATGAATTAGGTTTAGATAGCCCTCTTCAAGACATGTTTGAGAAACAATGCACCAAATAAACCATACAACTCCCGTCTCAGAAACTCTTAAGCACCTATCAATGGTCAAATAGGTAATCTTAACTATCTCTCTCTCTCTCTCTCTCTCTCTCTCTCTCTCTCTCTCTCTCTCTCACACACACACACACACACACACACGGCATTCAGAATGAAGCATACATTGATGTATTTACATTGGCTTGATGGTTAGGGACATGTAACTTGTATTGCATTTATGTATTGGAAAATGAGGAATAAGAAGCAGAAAATGTGTTATCTGCAGTGCTTTTTTCAAAAAAAAATATGTTTAGGGGTGCTCTCATTTTCCTACTCATATTGAAGCCAAACTTAGATTCACAAAATGTTTAGGGGTATGCGTCTCCCTGCGTCCCCCAAGAAAAAAAAAAGCACTGATTATCTTCATATTAGAAAACAGTAAAGAAAGAATTATTTACTAACGGTAATCTGCTTGATAACATTATCTGTTGTGAGATATAGTTTTTTTAAAAAACAAAAACAAAATCTATTTACAGGAGATCATCGACGTCTTCATCAGATGGTGGTTTCTGAAAGGATAAAGAACTTGAAAGGATGTAGATCTGAGGGAGGATGCCGGCAGTGATGAGGTCTCCTGGCTGATAGTACCTGTGAAGATGATGAACATGTTCCCTGGCAGTGCACTGAGGAAAAGGAGCATTGCACTCCATCTGAAGGGGCACTAAGAGCACCATAATGAGAACCATATTCCATGGAGATCTTTCTACCAGCAACCAGCTCATTTCTTCCAAAATAAAGAATTGAATTAAATGGAGACTCATCAGACATACTCAAAGACAGGAGCACTCTCAATGCTGTTGCTCTCTACTTCTAAATGGCACATGGAATATAAACACTATGCTTCAGGCTTGGTTCATTGTTTTAGTGGTCACTGGAATTCCCTAAAGACAGAAATAATCCTATTTCATTTGGTAATTAGAGAGGAGATAATCACCTACTCAGAGATAAAAGTTCCCTGAGACATTTCAGGAAGGAGGAAAAATAGCATGTTTTCCCCTATCTAAGCAGAAATCTTATTTGGCCATCCTCGACAGGAATGTACACAATGCCAAACGGCTTTCAAAAAAATGAGGCCTTAAGAATAAGACAAAAGAAGAATCACATTTTAAGTTATTTATTTTTAGAAGGGGGATGGAATTTAATATCTTTATAACCAACAAAATATCAAATACAGTGCCATTCACCAGACACATTTGAAACTTTTGAATAATGTTTTCCAATATCTTTATTATTCCTATTATTATTTATTAAATTTGTTTACCACCCTTCATCCAAAGATCCCAGGGCGGTTCACAAAAGAAAAGTACAAAATTCGAATACAAAATACATAATAAAGCACAAACCAAACCAAACAAACCAATAACCACCGCTCCAACAAACACATTAAAAAGTCCTAGAGTGTTAATTGACCGAAAGTCTGGTTGAAGGCAAACATTTTCACCTGGTGCCTAAATATGACTTCTTCTTTGGTGATCCTTCATAGCCGATTAAGATTGTCTTCCATAAACACTGTTTTAACAATGAGTTCATGAATGACTGTGGAGGCCAATTCTGGACCCACACGCCTTTCCACAGTGGGGACATTGGTTTCTGGGCGGGAGTTGATCACAGTGTGGATTTGCCAAGCGTGCCTTCCTCTTAGCACGTTTCTCCCTTGCGTTCTGAGTGTCTTCAAAGTCCATGACACCTGGAGAACAACCTAAATATATATAATGAACGTGTCAGGTGGTCCTCCACAACTGGGTAGCACCACAGAAGAGGCCCATTCTTGTGGACCTCTAATGGAGGAAGCACTCAAAGAAGGGTCTCAGATGATTGTCAGATCCAGGTCACTTCATATACTGTAGAGAGAGGCAGTCCTTGATGCATTGTGGTCCTGAGCTGTTTAAGGCAATATAGGTCAAGACTAGCACTTTCAACTGGGCCCAGAAAATAATTTGCAGCCAGTGCAGTCAGGCTAGTATCGGTGCAATATGCTCAAATCATCTTGCCCCAGTGAGCAACCTGGGCTCTGAATTCTGCATCATCTTCAGAACCGAATTCAGAGACAACCCTGTGTATAATGCATTTGTCACCTACATTCCTTCCCTGACAGGGAATGAGAACGCTAGCATAGAGAGAGAACAGATAAGAATGGATTGCGGAGGGGAGGGAGAAGCAGCAGGGAGCAGCCATAATTTGATCTCTGGGCACAGGGATAACGGAAGAGAGAACCAGAGTGAAAGAATGCAGCTTGTCAGCCCCCAGACATTGACTCAGACCCAGGAATACAGGCAGTGCCCTCTCCAAAATCTCATACGATCACGAGACTTTATGAGAAGCTCAAAAAGGAAAGGAAGAGACGATGGAGGTTTTCCTGTTGGGGGGAAAGGGGACAGAGCTTAGTTCCGACAACTGTGCTACCTGAGAATGACGAAGATTAGCTGAGCTCCGACCAGGGCTTGTTATTTGGCTAATAAATCCAAAATAATTAATTGACGGAGTTGTCTTGCGTGTGTGGGAGAAACCCAAGCCATTACAGCATTACAGTAATCTAACATATAGGTTGCCAGAGCACAAGCAATCTTAGTTAGGCTATCTCTGTCCAGAAAGAGGAGCAACTGCCCACTAAGTTGATGTAAGGCACTCTGTGCTACTAAGGCCACCTGTCAAAGGATCCAGAAGTATCCCCAAGCTACATATTCTCTCCTTCTTGTGGAGTGTAACCCCATCAAGAGCATGTAACCTCCCATACATCTAGTCTAGGGACACACTTACTAGCAGTTCCTCAGTTTTATCTGGATTGCGTTTATTGGATCTCACCCAGTCCATTACTCAAACAAGACTTTGGTCCAGCACTTCCATTGCCTCACCTGCAGATGTAAAGGAAAAGTAGAGTTGTGGGTCATCAGCATATTGCTGACAATGTACTCCAAAACTCTGGATGACCCCACTCAGTGGTTTCATGTAGATGTTAAACAGTCTGGGAGATAAATTGAACCCTGAGGAACCCCACATGGAAGGCTCCACAGGGCTGAAGAGTAGTCCTCAAGCATCAACCTATGGAAATGACCCTCCAAGTAGGCCCAGAACAACTGCAAAGTGGCACCACCTGCTCCTAACTTAGACAGCTGCTCCAGAAGGATACCAAGGTCACTGTTATGAGAAGCCACTAAGAGGTCAAGGGGGATTAACAGGGACACATTTTCCCTGTCTCTGGACAGAGGTCATCATGCAGGGCAACCAAAGCTGTTTCTGTGACAAAATCAGAGATTGATCTGGAAAACCAGTTTCCTCCAAGTCACCTGGATCTGGTCCATGACCACCGACTCAAGAACCTTGCCCAATAAGTGGAGATTGGCAACTGGCTGGTAGTTACTTAGATGTTCTGACTCCATGGCCACAGGTTGTACACCCCTGGCCTGGAAGTATGCCCTGCAATCCTGTACCTCACTATGCTCTGAAATAAGTACCATCAGGCTGTGACCTAAACCAGTCAATGGATATACTTTTATTTTCTTTTATTAAATCCCAAAACTTATTCAGATCCACCTGGAGGAGGAGGAGGAGGAGTCTGGATTTGATACCCTGGTCTATCACTACCCTGAGGAGTCTCAAAGCGGCTAACAATCTCCTTTTCCCTTCCTCCCCCACAACAAACACTCTGTGAGGTGAGTGAGGCTGAGAGACTTCAAAGAAGTGTGACTAGCCCAAGGTCAGCCAGCAGCTGCATGTGGAGAAGCAGGGAATCAAACCCGGTTCAGCAGATTACGAGTCCACTGCTCTTAACCACTACACCACACTGGAGAGTTCCTTGACCGAACAAAAACTATTTGACAGAAGTCCCTCTTCTCTGATTCATGCAGATCATTTGAAGAAGATTATTAATCCCTCCCCATTCATCAAATGACTGACCAGATGACTGGGGAGAGAGAAGCTGAACCCCCAACGGTTTGAAAAGCTGTGTGCATCCCAGGGTTGTCTTATCTAAGCTGGTGTCAAAATGGTGGTTTCTTGGAAGAGGGGGGGATTAAAACACTGTGGGCTGGGTAGGCAGGTACTGAGCTAACAATGAAAGAAAGATCAGGAAGAAAGGGCCATGCTTGTAAGCCACTCTGTTCATCACCCTCTTCTCCTGTATTATGAGCTCCCAGGACCAGTTCGTCTATGAGGCACTGTGAAGTGGTTGCCTCAGGGCAGCAGGCTCCCAAATATGCCGGGTGCTTTGTTCCTCTGCTAGTGCAGTGGTGCCCCCCTACCATGGCCTTGCCATGTCTTCCATTGCAGCTTGCCTATTGCTTGCCTGTTGCCTGTAGCAAATTGGCGATGGCAGGCAGGCCATGGTGCAGCCTGCAGGAGTGATAGGGCCTAGAAGCAGTGGGTGTGGGGGTCCACAATGGCCGAAGAACAGAAAGAGGTGGCAAGCACTAGGTAGAGGCAAAGACCTACTAGTGGTGGGTGTTGGAGACTCAGAAGCAGGTGTCTGGTGGAGGCAAGGAAGCAGATGTGGCAGCAGGATCAGGGGTTGGGGGCACTGCCACAAGTTTTGTCTCAAGTGGCAAAATGCCCCTGCCTGACTCTGCATACTCCTGTACAAGGGGATAGCTGCCCCTGCTCCATGACAATTGAAGTTCCCATTTGGATTTGGATTCTTTCTCACTTTTTAAATTCAGCCCAAGTTTGAAAAAACTAACAATCTTTCTTTCTTTCCCTCCCTTCCTTCTTGCCTTATTTTTCTGTTGGCCACATCTTGCTCTTTGTTAGCTCACCTGCCTCTTGCAGTCCCATAGATGACCACAGGTGGCTTCTATTGAGCTGTAATAACTACATTTTCTTCTGTACTAGCCCAGAGAAACTACAACAGTATTGACTCATGCGGCCCATAATCATCAAAATTGCCATGGTTAATTCTACTTCTTCTCAAGTCCCTATAGATTTCCTGTGAACACGGAAAAACAATGAAGTCTGAATAATGTTGTTAATATTTCTTGCTCACTCTGGAGCTGGGTCTTCAGACAGATTTATAGCCTTCCACCCACCTGATTTTTTTCACAGACAGGGCTTCCAAGCCAACCCATGGTGTGATTTTTCCTGCCACTTCAGTAATCATGTTAGAAGAATCAAATTGGTGGCTGGAAGGTAGATTTTCATTCAGTGTGGTACTGTTTGTGCTCTCATTATTTGTGTTCCTGCCCGATTTGGTATGTGACACTCCTATTGCCACATGCACTGTTGGTACTCCTCTTTCTATTACACACAAGTATTATCATTCTGGAGATCTCATCATTGCTGGAATTATTTCTCAGATCTACATGACATTTGATGAAATGGGTTTCATAAGACATCCATCTGAGACACTGATTGCTGCTCTCTTGTATGAAGTAGCTGTTTTTAACCCTATTGTAATATCCACAGGCATGGTGATCTGATGTCTTTGGGTTTATATGGGTGGGAAGTGATTGTTGAAAAGACAGCCGATCTGCTCTTAGAGTCTTGTTGGATGAGGCTGTATCTCAATTTTTTATGTTAGCTCTTTCCATGCAATTTCATTGTAGGGCTCAGGATTTCCATGCCACATGTTATAGTTGATGGAGGTTGACTGGAATGATACATTAGTGAGGTGTAGATAGGCAAAACTTTGATCAGATTTTATTGCTGTTTGAAGTATTTAATTTAACAATGGAATTCTGTTGTTGTTGTTGTTAAATTAATTTATACACCGCCCTATACCCAGAGGTATTAGTAGTAGTAGTAATAATAGGAGTAGCAGTAGTTCAGCAGCAGCAACAGCTGATATAATATTCAATTTGATAGCAAAATCAAAAGCAAATTTTTTTACTAGCCATCTACCCTTACCCCAAGGCTCTTCCCAGCACAGGAACTCTGACGGTTCATCATTCCATTACCAATGACAGTTTTCTTGCTTTCTGCTGTAGTGCTGTCCTTTGCTACACAATACGCTATAAATCCTTCTCAAACTTTTAGAAAAATCTGGATGCAATAAGCTACCCTTGTACCAAATTAAATATCTAAAGTAAAAAAAAGTACAGGTGCTAGCGAATTAAAATTATTAAAACATTACCTGTTCCAGTAAACTGGAAATTTCAGGCTTGTTTGCATTTGACTCAATATTATTCACAGAGGCCTAAAGAGTGTACTGTGTTCCTTATATTTAATGAATTGTGTGATATACAGCATATGTAAACCCTATATGTACAGTAGGTAGGCAACTATATAAATATATATGTATATATGAATAGCACTTTCTAAAATTACAGCAAGATGAATCTCCAATACAGGATTGATTACGAATGGTATCTTCACAATTCTCTTCACTGGAAGTATATTATCTTTGTTTGTGTTTCTTTGTGTCTGAACATGCAAGCAATGTTATTAGCAAGCATATATTGAAATTGAATGTTACACGTTTCATATTCAGAAGCAGACACACTTTGACACAGAATACCAATCTCATTGCAGACCCTTTTTCCAAAACTATCAGCATATCATGGCTTTGGTATATGCTGTAAAGGAGATCAATGAAAATCCACAAATGTTGCCTAATGTTACCCTGGGCACACACATCTATAATAGCTATTTCAGAGCAAGCTGGACCTACCTTGCTTCCATGGACCTTCTCTCCACCCAGGGAAGATTTATCCCTAACTTCAAGTGTGATGCCCAGGACAATGCAATAGCTGTTATCACAGGACCAAATTCTCACATCTGTCATTTCATGGCGCACATTCTTAACATCTACAAGATGCCACAGGTATGATATGCATATAAAACTAGGATTTATGAATAATTTACTCCTCAGTGCTCTTGTACATGAATTTTTGTGTTTGGAGATAGAAAGCACCACGATTGAAGGGAATAAAGACATAACCTTGCCAGCTGTTCAGAGGTCAAAATGAATGTAATCAAGGAGAATGATTCTTCTCATTACTTCATTGGGGGTGTGTGTGTGTGTTGATATTATAATTGATGAATATTTATTCCTCTTGATTAGGTGGTTCCTAACCAGCTCCAGACACTCGTGGATATGATTAATTTTCTAGATCTTAGTTAAGGGTTCAGATGCAGTTGTGATACTGAAATTGTATATTAGACACAAACGCTCCTATCTCCCAATTTTCTTTATTGTTCTAAGCTTGTATATGGCTCTGCTCCAATGACCAATGGCAACCCTGAAGCTGTTTTCTTCAACCGGATGTTCCCAAATGAGGACCATCAAACCTTGGGAATTCTTCAGTTGCTGTTGCATTTTAAGTGGACATGGATTGGGGTGGCTTATATAAGCACTGACAGTGGAGAGAAATTTATACAGAGTGTGCTCCCCGTGTTTTCACAAAGAGGTATATGCTTTGATTTCATAGAAGAACTGCCAAAAGAATCCTTTTCCAGTAAGTTTGATGAAATAATGAATGGCTTTTCTCGAGCACTCAGAATTATGATGAGGAGCAGTGCCAGCATTGTAATCGCACACGGTGATGTTCAGCTCATAGCAATTCTTAGACCAAGTCTAATGTTTGCTGAATGTGAAGGTATACAAATGAATAGTAAAGGTAAAGTGTGGATTATGACAGCCCAGATGGAATTCACATCAGTTCCCTTTCAAAAAACGATGGGTTTAGAGGCTTTCCATGGAGCTTTATCCTTTGCAGTTCCTTCCAAGCAGGTAATAGGATTCCTGGAATACCTTCAGATGAAAAACCCTACCTTGGAAAAGGAAGATGGTTTTATCAGGGTCTTTTGGGAAAATGCATTTGACTGTTCTTTCCCCATGAATGACACCACAGATGAAGAAATGTGTACTGGAGAAGAGAAGTTGGAGACTCTTCCTAACTCTGTTTTTGAAATGAGCATGACTGGGCATAGCTACAGTGTCTACAATGCTGTCTATGCTGTGGCGCATGCTTTGCAAGCCATGCATTCATCCAAATTTGGACACAGAGCAATGGCATATGATGGGAGAGGGATTCTTCTGAAGCAGCAGTTGGGGCAGGTAATATTCTGAGAGCCTTTCAGTGTTGTTCCCCAACACCACAATATTTGTTAAAAAAATACAGAAGTCAGCACTGAGAAGGTTAAGCTTGAGAATCGGCATACTGTTTGAAATGAGGGTGACTGGGCAAAGCCACAATGTCAGTAATGCTGTCTACACCCTGGCGTATGATTTGTCAGCCATACCTTTATTTATCAAAATTCTAAAGAACAGTAATGGATGGGAAGAGGTGGATACTTCTGACTCTACAGCCATGGCAGCTAATGTCCTGAGTACATTACTACAGAGGAATCCATCATAAATCCATCTTCAAAAGAAGGCCATTAAATGTCTATCTATGTCTTAAAGCTAGAGTGTTGACATCTAAATGCTATTTTTTATGCCATAGTTTTCCTTCTGAGCCAATTTGATACTGCTTCCCTGCATTCAGTTCCTAGTGAAGACTATGAAACCAATCACCATTGTCAGACTTATAATCTTATTTGCCAGTGATGTGTAAAAGAGAGCTGTATTTTCCATTCTTCCAATTCACTTTGCTTGTTCCTTAGATTTGTTTTCTATTGCCAAGACCACTAACCATAGTTTCCAAAAGGTCATCTGTCATCAGTATATTTGCCTATCATTGTGCATTCTTGATGGTGTTCCTGTGCTTCCATTTAGATCCACCACTATCTGAGAAGTGCCTCGTTTAACAACAGTGCTGGGGAACAAGTTACTTTTGATCAAAGTGGACAAGCTGTCGCTGGGTTTGATATTGTAAACTGGATCACATTCCCAAACCAGTCCTTTCTCAGAGTCAAAGTTGGAAAAGTAGACTCCTTGTCTGCCAAGGACAAAGGGTTCACAATTTCTGCAGATGACATTGTTTGGCCAAGCATGTTTAACCAGGTACGTCAGAAACATTTCCTCAACCTGGGGGAAAAGAACCAGGATCACTTTTTGGGGGGAAATACATGGGTCTAACTGTGGCTTTAACAGTGGAGTCAAAGCACAGGAATCACTGCTAGCTTTATCCTCCATTAATTTGTCTTATCCTCCTTTAAAGCCATCATTGTGTCCTGTACAAATGAGTGTCACATGTTTAGCTAGCAATGCAGATAGACAGACTTCATTCTCTGTGTCCTGAATGTTTCAACATTCAGCTCCATTGAATATTCCTGAGCTCTAGTGTTATGAGAGCAATGGATTTGAAAATTGTTTGAAATGGTAATTTGTTATTTTATTTATACAACTCTCTTGCTTTTATTATAGATCCAGTTGTTCTTGATCTGTTTTTATAGTATAGCAAATTTCTCCATGAAGCCTCATGAGAAGCAATTCATAAATAAAAAAGATAAATAAATAATGACAATTCATTGTGTCTTTATCTGCACTGGTGCGTATTAAGAGGTGTTAGCTGTCCTGGGATGAGAAATAGTGAGAAACAGGATGCAGAACTTCTTTAGTAAAGCAAATCAGTAATAAAATATTTGGTCAAACCATTTGTAACTGTGAAGAAACCACTGAAATATAAAGCTCCCAATACAGTATAGAATTTCTGGACGTAAGAACATTTCTGCTTTTATTTATTGACAGGCACAACCCCTTTCTGTGTGTAATGACAATTGCCATCCAGGGTCTAGTAAGATAAAGTTGGAAGGGAAGCCATTTGCTGCTATGGTTGCCACCCATGTCCTGAAGGGAAGATTTCAAATCAGAGTGGTAAGAAATGCAATGTAATAATAATAATAATAATTTTTATTTATACCCCACCCTCCCCAGCCAAGGCCGGGCTCAGAGCGGCTTACAAGCAATAATAAAAACAAGTTAAATGATTACAACTTAGGACTTCCGGTCGGCGCCAGCGTTTAATGGCGGTCCTTGCTTCGAGCTCCGAAGCAGGACTGCTCCGCGAGTTCGGGTCTGACCCGCTACGGCGAGCGGGGGACCCCTAAAATCACAGGCGCTGAAGCCTGTGAACAAGGAGACTCGGTGGGCACCTTTTGCGCCCCCCGGTACTGCGAAAGAGCCTTTTTAAAGGCTCCGGAGCGGCATCGGGTGTGAGCGCGGTGCTGAGAGTTGCAACCCAGCCCCGA